TTTACACGGGCACCCGTGTTAAACCTCCTGTGTTGGTTTTTAAACTATGTTTTCTGTGCATGCTGTTAAGTACGGATTGATCCGGTTTTGATGTGCAGTGTTTGACATGTTTTGAATATGTGTTTATTGATTTCCTAGTGTTGATTGATGCGTGTATCGAATAACGATTGTATGTTATGATACCAACACTATGTGGATTTTATTGTCATGCTTTTAGATGATGTTATCAAGCATGAATTATGATATAACTTGATATGATTGATGTTTAATAGTATGCTGAGTGATTACATGCTATTCATATCATGTTATATTTGATATTGTTGATGTTGCATGATATGTCGATTGATGTTAATAGTATGCTGAGTGTTACATACTTTACATATCATGTTGCATTTGTTAATTCCCATTGTGTGGAATTAACATGGTGGCCAATATACGTGTCCGCGATTTAATGGAACGTTGAGGTGGTAGCCGTGTCCGCGATATAATGGAACGGTGAGTTATCCGTGACCCGAGATTTAATGGGGCGGTAAAATGGTACCACATGCATGGGTGTGTTGCAATACATTGAATATGACATGAATGGATGATTTTTCCAATGTTGTATTTGATTGATTGTATGCATGTATTGATACTAAGTTGTTAACGATGTTTGATGTTAATAAGTAAGTATGAAAAGTATGATATTATGAATATATGGATTGTAAAGGTTTTTGTAATCTATGAAACATGCTAATTGTTGGGTGATGCTTATGGTTTCCTGAATTGATTGTTATGAACGTATAATCAAATGTATAGTTGAGATGCTTACCCTTACTGTTGAATATTTCAGATTGAGGAGCTTCGTTCAGGTGCTTGGCGAAGGCTTGTCATTTCTAGTTTATTTCCGTTTTAGTATTGTCCGGGTCATGCTCTGGTAGTTGTAACTCCGGGAACGTTTGTTTGTCGAGCTGCTTTAGCCAGACTCGTTTATTTCCCTTTGTTTGTTATAATATGAGGTTGAAATTTTCAGGTGTTAATCCCTGATGATTTTGAAAATATTATAACATTGGTTTTATTAATTAAATTATTCTGCTGTGTAAACAGGTATGAGTTACTACTATGATTATGCATGACAGGAACTTGTTTTTATTAAAGAGAATTGTGACATCCTCGTTGATACATGTACTCTGAAATTATAATTTTAATTATTCGCGAAAATTTATTCGGGGTTTTTAGAGGGTGTTACAATAGTGGTATCAGAGCATAGTCGGTCGTTGCGACCAGAGTCTTGAGTCAGTCATTCCTTTTGTATGCGACTAGTGCAAGGTAACACTGTCGATACTGTATTCTGATGTGGAGTATGTTTTAATTCTCAGGAATATGGCTGGAAGAGGTAACGGACGAAATGATGCTGCACTCGCTGAGGCCTTGGGGATGTTAGCTGGTGTACTTGCTGGAAACCCAACTGGAGGCGTGATTGGTGCTGATAGGCAATTGGGGAACTTCCAAAGGAACAATCCTCCGTTGTTCAAAGGTACACATGACCCTGAAGGTGCTCAAAAGTGGCTGAAGGAAATCGAAAGGATTTTCCGTGTAATTGATTGTGCTGAAGATCTGAAAGTCAGATATGGTACGCATATGTTGGCAGAAGAAGCCGACGACTGGTGGGTTGCAACAAGGACTGAAATGGTTCAGGATGGAGAGGCACTGACTTGGGCTAACTTCAGAAGGGCTTTTCTGAGGAGGTACTTTCCTGAAGATGTTCGGGGAAGAAAGGAAATTGAGTTTTTGGAGCTTAAGCAGGGCAATCTGACTGTTAGTGAGTATGCTACTAAGTTCACTGAGCTGGCAAAGTATTATGCTCACTACAACAATGATGAGGCTGGAGAATTCTCTAAATGTATCAAATTTGAGAATGGTCTCCGAGATGAGATTAAGCAGGGAATCAGGTACCAGTGTATTCGTAGATTTTCTGATCTGGTGGATTGTAGCAGAATCTTGGAAGAAGATATTACCAAGAATAGGTCGTCTCACTCTCGTGGGGCTGTTGATAAAAGAGGAAAGAAACATATGGACCGTGGCAAGCCATATGGTAGAGATAACCAGAAATCAGGTGGATGGAAAAGGCCTAGTGGGGGAGATTCTAAGGCTCCTATCAGATGCTACAGGTGTGGTGAGTCTGGTTATCACATTCGAGATTGCAAGAGTGATGAGAAGAAGTGCTATAAATGTGGAAAGGCTGGTCATTTGTCTATTGATTGCAAAGGGAAGTCTGTTACTTGTTACAATTATGGCGAAGAAGGTCACATTCGTCCGCAGTGTCCTAAGCCTAAGAAGGATCAGTCAGGTGGAAAAGTGTTCGCTTTGTCTGGATCTGAGACTACTCCAGAGGATCGATTGATTAAAGGTACGTGTTTTATTCATGGCACACCTTTAGTTGCAATTATTGATACTGGTGCAACTCATTCTTTCATTTCTTTGGATTGTGCTGAGAGGTTGAAACTGGACATATCTGATATGCGAGGTAGCATGGTTGTTGATACTCCTGCATCGGGTTCAGTGACAACTTCACTTGTATGTAGGAATTGTCCTATTGAGATTTTTGGTAGAGGTTTCGGTATAGATTTAGTGTGCCTACCGCTTGAACAAATTGATATTATCCTTGGGATGAACTGGTTGGAATTCAACCGGGTTCATCTGAACTGCTTTGCTAAGACGGTGATTTTTCCAGAAGCAGTTGGTGTCGAGAATTTGACTATGACTGCTAGGCAGGTACAAGAAGCAATGGAAGACGGTGCTAATGTGTTTATGTTACTTGCTTCGTTAGATGCAACAGGAAAGGTCAAGAGTGGTGAATTGCCAGTGGTGTGTGATTTTCCAGAAGTCTTTCCTGATGATGTTGGTGAGTTACCTCCTGAGAGAGAGGTGGAATTTTCTATAGATTTGATTCCTGGTACGAGACCGATGTCGATGGTGCCATATCGTATGTCTGCGTCTGAGTTGGCTGAATTGAAGAGTCAGTTGGAAGATTTACTGGAGAAGAAGTTTATTCATCCAAGTGTTTCGCCTTGGGGTGCTCCGGTATTGTTGGTCAAGAAGAAAGAAGGTTCTATGAGACTGTGTGTTGATTACAGGCAATTGAACAAGGTAACCATTAAGAATCGGTATCCGTTACCGAGGATTGATGATTTAATGGATCAGCTAATTGGAGCCAGTGTATTCAGTAAGATTGACTTGAGATCTGGATATCACCAGATTCGTGTGAAAGCGGAAGATATTCAAAAGACTGCTTTTCGAACGAGGTATGGGCATTATGAATATTCTGTTATGCCGTTCGGAGTTACTAATGCACCTGGTGTTTTCATGGAATATATGAACAGGATTTTTCACCCGTACCTGGATAAGTTTGTTGTGGTTTTTATTGATGACATTCTGATTTATTCCAAGAATGACGAAGAGCATGCGGAACATCTCAGAATTGTGTTAGAGTTGTTGAAAGATAAGAAGTTGTATGCAAAGTTGTCCAAATGTGAGTTCTGGCTGAATGAAGTTAGTTTTCTTGGACATGTGATTTCTAAAAATGGTATTGCAGTGGATCCTACAAAAGTAGAAGCAGTATCTCAGTGGGAAGCGCCGAAGACTGTTTCTGAAATCAGAAGTTTCCTTGGTCTTGCAGGTTATTACAGAAAGTTTATCGAAGGATTCTCAAAGTTAGCATTGCCGTTGACGAAGTTGACTCGTAAAGGACAAGCGTTTATTTGGGATTCTGATTGTGAGAAAGGTTTCCAAGAATTGAAGCGGAGATTGACTAGTGCTCCTATTCTGATTTTGCCGAATCCGGTGGAATCTTTTGTGGTCTATTGTGATGCATCTCTGTTGGGTCTAGGTGGTGTTTTAATGCAGAATCAACAGGTAGTTGCGTATGCTTCGAGACAGTTGAAGGTTCATGAAAGGAACTATCCTACTCATGACTTAGAGTTGGCAGCAGTTGTGTTTGTCTTGAAATTGTGGAGACATTATCTGTATGGTTCGAGATTTGAAGTGTATAGTGATCATAAGAGTTTGAAGTATCTTTTCGATCAGAAAGAGCTCAATATGAGGCAAAGAAGGTGGTTGGAATTTCTCAAAGATTATGATTTTGGTTTGAATTACCATCCTGGTAAGGCAAATGTGGTTGCAGATGCTTTGAGCAGGAAATCCTTGCATATGTCTATGATGATGGTTCGTGAATTGGATTTAATTGAACAATTCCGAGATTTGAGTTTAATTTGTGAAAGTACTCCGAAGTGTGTTCGTTTGGGTATGTTGAAACTTACTAGTGGTATTCTAGAAGAGATCAGGATCGGGCAGAAATCTGATGTTAATTTAGTTGATAAATTGACATTGATCAACCAAGGTCAAGGTGGTGAGTTTAGAATTGATGAAAATGATGTTATGAGATTTGGCGATAGAGTTTGTGTTCCTGATGTCGCAGAAATCAAGAAGAGTATATTAGAGGAAGGACATCGCAGTGGGATGAGCATTCATCCAGGTGCCACGAAAATGTATCATGATTTGAAGAAATTGTTTTGGTGGCCGGGAATGAAAAAGGAAATAGCTGAATTTGTGTATGCATGTTTAATCTGTCAGAAATCGAAGATTGAGCATCAGAAGCCGTCTGGAGTTATGCAGCCGATGTTTATTCCAGAATGGAAGTGGGATAGTATTTCTATGGATTTTGTATCCGGGTTGCCGAGGACTCCTAAGAATTGTGAAGCGATATGGGTTGTTGTGGATAGACTGACTAAGTCTGCTCATTTTATACCGGTGCGAATGGATTACTCAATAGAGAGATTGGCACAGTTATATATTGAGAAAATAGTGAGTTTGCATGGAGTTCCTTCTAGTATTGTGTCAGATAGAGATCCGAGATTTACTT